TCAGCAAAAAGGCCAGATGTATTATATTACTTCTAAAAATATGAGACAGACGGATCCCAGACGCTTTTACCATCCTATAGTATGTGTTCCTTGAGAATCATAGACAGGCTATTTCCTAAAATAGAACTGGCTACTTCTAAAAACCAATCATAGTAGATTCCAATATTTTTTTCGGCGAAACTAGTAACTACATTACGTTGCTTCTAAAAATATAAGACAGTCGGATCCCAAAATGTAGTTTGGATCTTTTAGTGTCTGTTCACTGAAAATCAAAGACAGTCTCTTTCCTAAATTGTATTTGCTACTTCTAAAAACGAGTCACAGTGGATTTCAGGAATTTTCTTATCAAAATAGCCAATTGTATTGTGTTTCTTCTAGAAATATAAGAGAGTCGGACTCCAAAGCGCTTTTAGCATCCTATAGTACGCGTTCTCTGAGAATCGTAGACAGTCTGTTTCCTAAAATAGATCATGCTACTTCTAAAATTCAGTCATCGTAGATTTCAGTGATTTTTTTGATCGAAACTGGTAGCTGCATTACGTTACTTCTAAAAATATAAAACAGTCGCACCCAAAAAGTGTTCCCAATCTTGTAGTGTGCGTTCACTAAAAATTAAAGACAGTCTTTTTCCTAAATTTTACTATTTCTAAAAACGAATCACAATAGATTTCAGTATTTTTTTTCAGCAAAAAGGCCAGATGTATTATATTACTTCTAAAAATATGAGACAGACGGATCCCAGACGCTTTTACCATCCTATAGTATGTGTTCCTTGAAAATCATAGACAGTCTATTTCCTAAAATAGAACTGACTACTTCTAAAAACCAATCATAGTAGATTCCAGTAATTTTTTTCGGCGAAACTAGTAACTATATTACGTTACTTCTAAAAATATAAGACAGTCGGACCCTAAAAAGTGTTTTGGATCTTGTAGTGTGCGTTTACTGAAAATCAAAGACAGTCTCTTTCCTAAACTGTATTTGCTACCTCTAAAAACGAGTCACAGTGGATTTCAGGAATTTTCTTATCGAAATAGCCAACTGTATTGTGTTTCTTCTAGAAATATACGACAGTCGGACTCCAAAGCGCTTTTAGCATCCTATAGTATGCGTTCTCTGAGAATCGTAGACAGTCTGTTTCCTAATATAGATCATGCTACTTCTAAAATTCAGTCATCGTAGAATTCAGTGATTTTTTTCATCGAAACTGGTAGCTGTACTACGTTACTTCTAAAAATATAAAACAGTCGGACCCAAAAAGTGTTCCCAATCTTGTAGTGTGCGTTCACTCAAAATTAAAGACAGGCTTCTTCCTAAATTATACTATTTCTAAAAACGAATCACGATTGATTTCAGTAATTTTTTTCAGCAAAACGGCCAGATGTATTATATTACTTCTAAATATATGAGACAGACGGATCCCAGACGCTTTTACCATCCTATAGTATGTGTTCCTTGAAAATCATAGACAGTCTATTTCCTAAAATAGAACTGGCTACTTCTAAAAACCAATCATAGTAGATTCCAGTATTTTTTCGGCGAAACTAGTAACTATATTACGTTACTTCTAAAAATATAAGACAGTCGGATCCCAAAATGTAGTTTGGATCTTTTAGTGTCTGTTCACTGAAAATCAAAGACAGTTTCTTCCCTAAACTGTATTTGCTACTTCTGAAAACGAGTCACAGTGGATTTCAGGAATTTTCTTATCGAAATAGCCAACTGTATTGTGTTTCTTCTAGAAATATAAGACAGTCGGACTCCAAAGCGCTTATAGCATCCTACAGTATGTGTTCTCTGAGAATCGTAGACAGTCTGTTTCCTAAAATAGATCATGCTTCTTCTAAAATTCAGTCATCGTAGATTTCAGTGATTTTTTACATCGAAACTGGTAGCTGTATTACGTTACTTCTAAAAATATAAAACAGTCGGACCCAAAAAGTGTTGCCAATCTTGTAGTGTGCGTTCACTGAAAATTAAAGACAGGCTTCTTCCTAAATTATACTATTTCTAAAAACGAATCACAATTGATTTCAGTAATTTTTACAGCAAAAAGGCCAGATGTATTATATTGCTTCTAAAAATATGAGACAGACGGATCCCAGATGCTTTTACCATCCTATAGAATGTGTTTCTTGAAAATCATAAACAGTCTATTTCCTACAATAGAACTGGCTACTTCTAAAAACCAATCATAGTAGATTCCAGTATTTTTTTCGGCGAAACTAGTAACTATATTACGTTACTTCTAGAAACATAAGACAGTCGGATCCCAAAATGTAGTTTGGATCTTTTAGTGTCTGTTCACTGAAAATCAAAGACAGTTTCTTTCCTAAACTGTATTTGCGACTTCTAAAAACGAGTGACAGTGGATTTCAGGAATTTTCTTATCGAAATAGTCAACTGTATTGTGTTTCTTCTAGAAATATAAGACAGTCGGACTCCAAAGCGCTTTTAACATCTTATAGTATGCGTTCTCTGAGAATCGTAGACAGTGTGTTTCCTAAAATAGATCATGCTACTTCTAAAATTCAGTCATCGTAAATTTTAGTGATTTTTTTGATCGAAACTGGTAGCTGTATTACGTTACTTCTAAAAATATAAAACAGTCGGGCCCAAAATGCGTTACCAATCTTGTAGTGTGCGTTCAGTGAAAATTAAAGACAGGCTTCTTCCTAAATTATACTATTTCTAAAAACGAATCACAATTGATTTCAGTAATTTTTTACAGCAAAAAGGCCAGATGTATTATATTGCTTCTAAAAATATGAGACAGACGGATCCCAGATGCTTTTACCATCCTATAGTATGTGTTCCTTGAAAATCATAGACAGTCTATTTCCTAAAATAGAACAGACTACTTCTAAAAAGCAGTCATAGTAGATTCCAGTAATTTTTTTTGGCGAAACTAGTAACTATATTACGTTACTTCTAAAAATATAAGACAGTCGGACTCTAAAAAAGTGTTTTGGATCTTCTAGTGTGCGTTCACTGAAAATCAAAGACAGTTTTTTTCCTATATTATACTATTTCTAAAAACGAATCACAATTGATTTCAGTAATTTTTGTCAGCAAAAAGTCCAGATGTATTATATTACTTCTAAAGATATGAAATAGACGGATCCCAGACGCTTTTACCACCCTATAGTATGTGTTCCTTGAAAATCATCGACAGTCTATTTCCTAAAATAGAACTGGCTACTTCTAAAAACCAATCATAGTAGATTCCAGTATTTTTTTCGGCGAAACTAGTAACTATATTACATTACTTCTAAAAATATAAGACAGTCGTATACCAAAATGAAACTTGGATCTTTTAGTGTCTGTTCACTGAAAATCAAAGACAGTTTCTTTCCTAAACTGTATTTGCTACTTCTGAAAACGAGTCACAGTGGATTTCAGGAATTTTCTTATCGAAATAGCCAACTGCATTGTGTTTCTTCTAGAAATATAAGACAGTCGGACTCCAAAGCGCTTTTAGCATCTATAGTATGCGTTCTCTGAAAATCGTAGACAGTCTGTTTCCTAAAATAGATCATGCTACTTCTAAAATTCAGTCATCGTAGATTTCAGTGATTTTTTTCATCGAAACTGGTAGCTGTATTACGTTACTTCTAAAAATATAAAACAGTCGGACCCAAAAAGTGTTCCCAATTTTGTAGTGTGCGTTCACTGAAAATTAAAGACAGTCTTTTTCCTAAATTATACTATTTCTAAAAAAGAATCACAATAGATTTCAATAATTTTTTTCAGCAAAAAGGCCAGATGTATTATATTACTTCTAAATATATGAGACAGACGGGTCCCAGACGCTTTTACCATCCTATAGTATGTGTTCCTTGAAAATCATAGACAGTCTATTTCCTAAAATAGAACTGGCTAGTTCTAAAAACCAATCATAGTAGATTCCAGTATTTTTTCGGCGAAACTAGTAACTATATTACGTTACTTCTAAAAATATAAGACAGTCGGATCCCAAAATGTAGTTTGGATCTTTTAGTGCCTGTTCACTGAAAATCAAACACAGTTCCTTTCCTAAACTGTATTTGCTACTTCTAAAAACGAGTCACAATGGATTTCAGGAATTTTCTTATCGAAATAGCCAACTGTATTGTGTTTCTTCTAGAAATGTAAGACAGTCGAAACCCAAAACGCCTTTATCATCCTGTAGTATGCGTTTTCTGAAAATGGTAGATAGTCTGTTTCCTAAAATGGATCAAAGCTACTTCTAAAAATCAATCATAGTAGATTTCAATGTTTTTTTGGCGAAATGGCTAGCCGTATTAGGTTACTTCTAAAAATATATGACAGTCGAATCCAAAAAAAGTCTTTCCCATTTTGTAATATGCGTTCACTGAAAATCAAAGACAGTCACTTTCCTAATCTGCATTATGCTACTTCTAAAAATGAATCACAATAAGTTTCAGCAATTTTTTCAGCGAGGGGTCATTTGTATTATGGTACTTCTAAAAATATAAGACAGTCGAATCTCAAAACGTGTTAGATATCTTGTAGGATACGTTTACTGAAAATGAAAGACAGTCTTTTTCCAAAGCTGCTACTCTAAAAACGAATCACAATAGTTTTCAGTAATTTTCTTATCGAAATAACTATCTACATAATGTTACTTCTAAAAATATAAGACAGTCGAATTTCAAAACGTGTTCAGCATCTTGTAGTATCCGTTTAATGAAAATGAAAGATAGTCTTTTTCCAAAGCTAAACACGATTCACAATTTTTTCAGCGAGGGGGCAGTTGTATTATGTTACTTCTAAAAATAAATGACAGTCGGAACCCAAGCTACTTCTCTAAAACCAATCATCGTAGGTTTCAGTGATTTTCTCATAATAACTATCTGCATGATGTTACTTCTAAAAATACAAGACAATCAGACCCCAAAACTACTTTTAAAAACGAATAACAACTGATTCTTGAATCCAATTTTTATTTTATTTTTCACATTTTGTCTTCATTCATGTTCAACCCTCTTTTTTTACAGCCCCAACGTATGCAAAAGCAGATACCGCACTTTCTGCTGCCCCGGCTGGACCCGACATAACCTCCTCGGCTTGTGCATAGTCCGTAAGTAACCTTTCCACGCCTCTAAAAACCCAATATTTTAAAAACTATTTTTCAGCAATTTGTTCTAGATCTTGTGGGCCAGGAAGATGCGTTCAGCCCAACCTCTGCCTCTGCGAAAACGGCCGCCAATCCACCAGTTGCTCCCGCTCTTACCAACACGCAGGTACAATCCCCTCACACCCCCAACCCCCAACCAAAAACCAAACTCACCCTTTTTTCCACAGGAGATGGTAAATCTTGTCGAGCCATTTGCATGAACGGAGGCACCTGCACGGACGGCAAATGCGTCTGCGCACCAGGCTACAGCGGCGAATTTTGCACCGAACGTAACTATTTCCTCTATGGTAACCCAACCTCCACCTAACTTTGTTTTTTCAGCCATCTGTCTGGAAGCTTGCAAGAATGGAGGTAGATGCATCGGGCCCGACCGCTGCGCTTGCATGTACGGGTTCACGGGCAACCACTGCGAGACGGGTGCGTGCAAACATAGATGATAGTATTTGTGGTTGAAAGAAAAAACAAACCACAAAACATAAGTTTGATAAATATACATAATTTCAGATTACAGGACTGGTCCGTGTTACACTGGGGCACATAACGCTTTGTGCGTCAACCAGCTGGAAGGCGTGGTTTGCACGAAGACGCTGTGTTGCGCGACGGTAGGGAAAGCCTGGGGACACCCGTGCGAACACTGCCCCTCGCGGCTAGAGTGCGAAATCGGCTTCCTCAAGAACCAGAAAACGGGAGAATGTGTTGGTGAGTCGCGAAATCCAGAGTTAGATTTTCTTCTACTGGTTGTTCTAGATATCAACGAGTGCGAAGCTATTCCTCATTTGTGTATCGGTGGCCAGTGCGTCAACTCAATTGGGTCCTTCACGTGCGAGTGTCCTGAAGGACAAGCCAGAAACCCCAAAACCAACAAGTGCGACGACCGGAATGAGTGCGAAGACGAAACCATCTGTTTGGACGGAAGATGCGTCAACACAGACGGGTCCTACTTTTGTTTGTGCAACCCCGGGTTTATTCAAAGTCAGGATAAGAAGTTCTGCATCGATGGGCGACAAGGGTTGTGTTATACTCATCGGTCGCCTCAAGGGTACTGCCGAAACAACTTGCCGATGCGTCTTTCCAAAAAGGATTGCTGCTGTGGGGTTAACATGGGTGAAGGATGGGGCGACGATTGTTCCAGGTGTCCTAAATATGGCGAAGATGAACACAGGAGGTTGTGCGCGGGACCTACGCATCCGGGAAAGGGTCCAGATCCATTGTCACCCATTAGGAAACCAGACGGAGAGGGTCGGCCGGACAACCATACCAAAAGTCCCCCGTTGATCCCTATCAATGAGTGTATTCTGCGACCGGATATATGCGGCGAAGGGCAATGTATTGACACGTACGAAGGATATGAGTGTATTTGCAAGATGGGATATCGAAAAGGGCATAGACAAGTGTGTGAAGGCTAGTGATACTATACCTTGAGAATTTTCCCCTAATTTTGGCCTCTACCTTCTAGATATTGACGAATGCAGCGAGGGCAAGTGTCAAAACGGCCGGTGCACCAACACCCCCGGGAGCTTCACGTGCGTTTGCCCGCCAGGGTTTGACGTTTCGCCTGATGGTACCGTCTGCACAGACCACGACGAGTGTAGGGAAATCGGGATGTGTACCAACGGTATTTGCATCAACATGGATGGTAGTTTCAAGTGTCAGTGTAAAAGCGGTTTCAAACTATCCCCCACTGGATTTGCTTGCATAGGTACCAGTCGTACTCTTTCACGACCCTTCACTCATCCACTATTCACTAGATATCGACGAATGCTACGAAAACCCCCGAATATGTTTAAACGGAAGATGCAACAACATCCCGGGCTCTTACACTTGTACCTGCCTTCCAGGCTTCATCGAGTCCAGTGACCGGACTTTCTGCAGCGACTTAGACGAGTGTATAAACACAGGTACGCACTCTATTATTATAATCGTTTTGTAGTAAATCGTCATGGTACTTGAAGGAATGTGTGACCATGGAAGATGCATCAATATGGAAGGGTCGTTCCGTTGCGTCTGCGACTCTGGGTACCGTTTGGGACCAGACGGTAAACACTGCATCGATATTGACGAATGCATAACCGGCCCTTGTCAATTCGGTACTTGCTACAACACGCCCGGGAGCTTCCGGTGTGAGTGCCACCCAGGCTTCAGTCTCGGTCCCGATGGTCGCTCATGTCTGGACACCCGACGCGACTTGTGTTACCAAGAGTACCGCGACGGTCTTTGCTTCAACCCGTCGACGACCGCAGTAACCCGATCGAGTTGCTGCTGCTGTACCATCATTTCCGGCAAACCGATGGGTTGGGGTACTAATTGCCAACCCTGTCCAATGCCTGGCACTTCCGACTTTGACGCTCTTTGTCCGCACGGTCCTGGGTCCACCTTCGACGGTAACGACATCAACGAGTGCGCCCAAAACCCCAACATCTGTCAAAACGGTGCCTGCGAAAACATGATCGGTACTTACAGGTGCATTTGCAACCCTGGGTTCGAAGTAGACGAAACGGGGAAGATTTGTACCGATATTAACGAGTGTGAAGTGGAGCAATTGGTAAGTAGTGCGAAATTGGAGTAAGTGTGACGGAATGACGGTACTAACTAACTCTATATCTTTGAAGTGTACATTATGAATTCTTAGATCGGTTATGCAGGTGTGCAGTGGCGGGCAGTGTCGGAACACCCCTGGGAGTTTTCAATGCACTTGTCCCACGGGAACCCAACTGAGCCCTCACACTTTCGTGTGCGAAGACGTCGACGAGTGTAAAGAATTGGGACCCGAGGCGTGCTTCAATGGAGAGTGTGTGAATACGTTTGGGTCGTACAAGTGCGAGTGTGACTCAGGGTCCATACTGGATAACACGGGGAGGGTTTGTATAGGTACTAGTCTAGCTTTAGGGTGACGATTATCTGCATTTTGGTACTTATTCATAGACAACCGCAAAGGGTCGTGTTGGACGAAACTCAACCACGGTAGGTGCGAAAACAACCTCCCTCAACTCAGTCGACGATCTGAGTGTTGTTGTTCCATTGGGGTGGCTTGGGGCTCACCCTGTGTGCGCTGCAGCCGCCAAGAATGCGACTGTCCCAAAGGCTACGCGAAAGTAGACGGCAAAACCTGCGCTGATATTAACGAGTGTGACCTTCACCCGGATATTTGTCGAGGTGGTACCTGCGTCAACACGGATGGAAGCTTCACGTGTACTTGTCCCCCAGGACTCACCCTAGACGAGACTCGTACGTTCCCACATACTTCTTAAGTGTTGGTATAGTAGTTCTTGCAGGTTCGTTCTGTGTGGATATAAGACAAGAGCAATGTTACGTTCGCTACAAGCACGGGAAGTGCACCAACCCCATTGATGGTCTCTTCCACAAAAACTTGTGTTGTTGTACGTCTATCGGAAGAGGCTGGGGCGAGAAATGCGAACCTTGTCCCAGACCCGGTACTCCAGCTTTCCTGGAACTGTGTCCCAAGGGACAAGGGTTCATCGAGTGGAAGGACATCAACGAGTGCACGGAATTCCCCGGGATGTGTCAAAACGGAAGGTGTAAGAACACGATAGGAGGGTACAGCTGCCGGTGTAACAAAGGGTACGACTACGACGATAACCGAATCAAGTGTGTGGGTAATTAGTTGAAGTTCGGGTTTGACCAAGTGGTAATGGATGTCTTCCAGATATCGATGAGTGTAGCATCACCACCAGCAACGTCTGCGGAAACGGGGTATGCAAAAACATCCCAGGCGACTTCATCTGTGAGTGTAATGAAGGCTTCAGAACCATGGCACCGATGCAGATTTGCATGGGTACGACTTCAATCACTACCACGAACACCCTCCCATTCCCTATTTTCTAGACATCGACGAGTGCGACGAAATCCCGGGTCTTTGTAGAGGTGGCCATTGCCTCAACACCGACGGGTCATACAAATGCGAATGTCCCCCGGGTCACGAGCTAGCCCCCGACAAGAAATCCTGCAAAGACATAGACGAGTGTTCCAGGACCAGCGGCATCTGCTCGAATGGCGTCTGCGAAAACATGATGGGAACGTACCAGTGTGTCTGCAACGAAGGGTACCGCCAAACTGGGTTAAAGTCGCACTGCGAGGACATCGACGAGTGTGACGACGAACCATGCGACGACATTTGTATCAACACACCTGGAAGCTACTCATGTTCATGCGGGTACGACTTACCTTTAAACAAACACCAATTTAGACACTTGTTTCTAGATCAGGGTACTCCCTCATGCTTGACGGCAAAACTTGTATGGACGTCGACGAGTGTAAAGAAAACCCGAGGATTTGCAACGGCGGCAAGTGTACGAATACCATCGGAAGCTACATTTGTCACTGTACCGCTGGTTTGCTTCCTGGAACGGGTGGAACCTCGTGCTTAGGTAACGTCGTACCAAGTTTAGCGGGTACTACTTCGTGTGGTTGCAGACATCGACGAGTGCAAGCAGAACCCGAACATTTGCGGCAACGGGGAGTGTGTTAACACTCTTGGGTCCTTCCAGTGTCGGTGCGAGGACGGGTATTCAGTGAAACCCGAAGGGGGACCGTCGTGTAGTGACGACGACGAGTGCTACTTGGGTTCGTTCAACTGCCACATCAACGCGGATTGCATCAACAACCCGGTACCCACCCACCCACCCAGTACCATTTCATACTAATTTGAATTTCAGGGGTCGTACCAGTGTAGGTGCCAAGACGGCTTCACCGGTAATGGTATTAGTTGCAGGGACATCAACGAATGTCTCACTAACAATGGTGGTTGCGACCAAAACGCCCAGTGTATCAACACTGACGGTTCCTTCAGGTGCGAGTGCGACTCTGGGTTCAAAGGGGACGGCTACAGCTGTGTCGACATCGACGAGTGTTTGAACGACCCAAGTCTTTGCGAAAACGGGCAATGCTTGAACTACCCTGGTTCGTTTAGGTGTGAATGTGAAATGGGGTTTATGCACCCAGACGAACGAAACGACCAATCCTGTGTTGGTAAGGTGTGACCACGTATGCTTTCCGTAGTGTTAAATCACCGGTTTTAGATATCAATGAGTGCAGCATGTTTAACAATTTGTGTGTTTTTGGGAAGTGTGAAAACACGTTTGGGATGTTTAGGTGTGATTGTCACGATGGGTACAAGTTGGATGGGTCTGGGGGTAACTGCACGGATATTGACGAGTGCGAGAGCCCCCAGAGTTGTCTTTATGGAAAGTGTACCAATGTGGAGGGAGGGTTTAGGTGTATTTGTCCACCCAACTATGAACTGGTAGCTGAAGGGAATGCCTGCATTGGTTAGTATTTCGTGTGACCGAAAGGCAACCCTAGTTACAATATTTTTAGATCGGCGAACCTCCCGGTGCTACCTTCATCTTGACCAAGGTAGATGTGAATCCCCTACCGCTGATTACGTCACGAAGGCCGCTTGTTGTTGTTCGGTGGGTAGGGCCTGGGGTCCTCATTGCGAGCACTGTCCGTCGCTTGATAGTCTCGAGTACCAGGAGTTGTGTCCGGGTGGGATGGGCTACAAACCCAACGATCTCACAGTATGAACCCATTTCCCTTCTCTTTAAGTCTTTAATCGACAAGTACCCTTCCAGGTGGTTCTAGAAGACATCAACGAATGCGAAGAACACGAAAACATTTGTAAAAATGGCCACTGCACTAACACCTTTGGTAGTTTCATGTGTTCGTGCAATGAAGGTTTCCGTCTGGACGAAACCGGCTTCATGTGTTTAGATATCGATGAGTGTTTGGAAAATCCCGGGATTTGTAACGTGGGTGAATGCATTAACGAGCCCGGGAAGTACTATTGTCAATGTCCTGAAGGGTACATGCCTCTACCTGGACGAAGTAAGTCTATTTTAATTTAAATTGGGACACCACAAGCTTGATTATTTCGTTACAGGGGAATGCGTGGATATGAGAAAGGATCTGTGTTTCTTGAACTATAGCAGATGGAGGTGTTCCACCCCCATGACCCAGAACCAAACCCGCAAAGTTTGTTGTTGTTCCATGGGAGAAGCATGGGGACAACCGTGTGAACCTTGTCCATTGCCAGGCACCAGTAGGTACACATTGCAGTTTTAGCGCAAATTTAAGAACTCGTTTCGTGATGAAGTACCACGTGTATTTTAACGATTTTTAGGTGAGCATTTTGCGTTGTGTGGGGGAAGACCCGGGCAAATCGTCAACCCTATGACCAATGAAACTATAGAAATCAACGAGTGCGACTTGATGCCGTCCATGTGCAAGCACGGTGAGTGCATGAACACACCTGGAAGCTTCGAATGTCAATGCAATCGAGGGTACATTTACGACGCCAATTCCCACCAATGTATTGACGATAACGAGTGTCTAAGAAACCCGTGTGAGGGCAATGCGCAATGTATTAACCTCCCGGGTAGTTTCGAATGTAAGTGTCCCGAAGGGTACAAACACGGTTCGACCTTCATGGACTGCGTCGACATTAACGAGTGTATTGAAAAACCCAACATCTGTCAAAACGGGGATTGTAAGAACCTTCAAGGGAGCTTCCAGTGTATTTGTAACCCCGGGTACCTACTCACTCCATCCAGGGACACCTGCATCGACGTCGACGAGTGTATAAGGCACCCTAACATATGCAACAATGGTTCTTGCTTGAACATGGTAGGCCAGTACAAGTGCCACTGCAACGCCGGGTTCAAACTGAGCAACAACAACGACTGCGTGGACGTCGACGAATGCCACATGATGCCATTTTTGTGCAGAAATGGTAGGTGCAAAAACACTTTGGGTTCTTTCACTTGTGAGTGTGCCACTGGGTACACTTTATCCGCTGATGGACACAACTGTCGCGACGTGGATGAGTGCCACGAAGTACCCGGAACCTGTTTACCCCCCGGTCGTTGTACCAACGTCATGGGGTCCTTCGTATGTACCTGCCCCAACGGGTACGAACTCAGCCCTCTCACCAACTTATGTGAAGACATCGACGAGTGTGTGGTCAATCCCGGAATTTGTGAAAACGGGGTTTGTACCAATACGGACGGTGGCGCGTTTTGTACGTGTCCAGAAGGGTTCATTCTTGACCACAATACCATGAAGTGTATCGACATACGACAGGAGCAGTGCTATGATTCGTTCAATAGAGGACAGTGTTCAATCCCCAGAGGGATGCAACTAACAGAAAAAGAGTGCTGTTGTTCCAAAGGGGAAGCTTGGGGGCGGGAGTGTGAGCGTTGTCCGGCTGAAGGGTCTAGTAAGATAGTCATTTACCGATTATTGTAGTTTAACAACTGAAACCCTTTTAGCTCAGTTCTTGAAACTTTGTCCCGAAGGATTGGGTCGGATGGATACTGGAAGCGACCTCAACGAGTGTGAATTGATGCCGAATATTTGCGAAGGAGGGGAGTGTGTTAATACGGATGGGTCCTTTAGGTGTGAGTGTCCGATGGGGTATATTCTGGATTCCACTGGTCGGAAATGTGTTGACGAAAATGAGTGCATTACGAATCCGAATGTGTGTGGAAATGGGACTTGCACTAACGTAATTGGGGGTTTTGAGTGTAGTTGTGGTGAAGGTTTCGCACCTGGACCTCTTCAGGTAAGTTAACAATTTTTTCAGTTTAGGGGGGCTGCTTTCATGTTTTCTTAACGTGACTCATACAGTACGAAAAAATAGGTCTTTCGTTTCTGTATGCGTGTCTGATTCTTATTAGATAGATCATATCCGAAAAGAAGCTAATTACTTATTATTTGCGTGTTTTAATTAAAATTGTGTGACAATTTTTTTAGTTTTCGATTTTTCGGTTTTTTGATTTTTCAACTTTCGATTTCTCAGTTTTTCTCTGTTTTAATTTTAGGATTTTTTAGTTTCTTTCAATTTCCCAATTTTTCGTTCACTCAATTTTTAGAATTTTTCAGTGTTTCGATTCTTCAATTTTTTAATTTTATGATTTCTCAATTTTTCGATTTTCCGGTTTTTAGATTTTCAATTTTGCCGTTTCTTAAAGTTTAGATTTCGACTTATATTTCTCAAATTTTTAATTTTCAATTTCCTGACGTATCAGTTTTTCGATTTTTCAGTTTTCTTTGAATTTTCAGTTTTTTTCACATTTCGATTTCTCGAGTCTTTAGTTTTTCCACATTTATTTTTTCGATTTTCCAAGTTTTTGAATTTTTAAATTTTGATTTTTCGATTTTCTGATGTTTTTGTTGTTTTTCAATTTCTTGATTTTCCAACTTTCGATTTCTCAATTTCTTAAACTTTCAGTTTTAGGACTTTTCAGTTCTCTGATTTTCAATTTTTCAATTTCTCGATTTAAAATTTTTCTGTTACTCAATTTTTCGATATTTCATTTATGGCATTTTTCAGTTTTTCGATTCTTCAATTTCTCGATTCTTATAAATTTTCTGTTTCTCGATTTTTTTTAATTTATGACTTCAATTTTCCGATATTTTAGTTTAACAATTTTCAATTTTCAGGTCTTCAGTTTTTCCATTTTCCAATTCTATATTTTCGATTTTTCAACTTTTTAATTTCATGACTTTTTCACTTTTAGATTCTTCGATTTCCCGTTTCTCGAATTTTTGATGTTTTGATTTCTCAATGTTTCAGTCTTGGGATTTTTCAATTTTTTTGATTTTTCGAATTTTCTTAGAATTTCCAGTTTTTCGAATTATCGATTTATCAATTTTTCGATGTCAGTTTTGGAACTTTTCCATATTTAAATTTTTTCATTTTTTTTTTATTTCTTGATTTTTTACTTTTTCGGTTTTTAAAATTTTAAATTTTTGGATTTTGCAGTGTTTCAAATTTTTGACGTTTTGGTTTCTCGATTTTTCAGTTTTTCGACATTTTACTTTTTCGTCGATTTTTAAAGTTTCGATTGTTTTTCAAGTTTTTTTTGTTTTTTCCGATTTTTTAAATTTTTCAACTTTCGATTTCTCAATTTTCCCAAATTTTAGTTTTAGGATTTTTCAGTTTTTTGATTCTTCAATTTTTCAGTTTCTCGATTTAAAATTTTTGCATTACTCAATTTTCCGATATTTGATTTTTAGGATTTTTTAATTTTTCGTTCTTCAGCATCCTCGATTTTTTAAGTTTTTTCGATTTTTCTGTTTCCAATTTTTCCAATTTTTGGCGTTTCTAAATTTTCGATATTTTTGATTTCTCCATTTTTTCAGTTCTTGATTTTTAGATTCTTTGATTTTCCCATTTCTCGACTTTTTGAAGTTTCGATTTCCCAACTTCTCGATTTTGCAGTTTTTCAGTTCTTCAATTTTTTGATTTGTCAATTTTTCAATTTTCGATTTTTAAAATTTTTTTCCGAATTTTTCGAAATTAGGATTTTTTAGTTTTTGATCCGTCAGTTTCTCGATTTTAAATTTTTCGATTACTCACTTTCTGAATATTTAATTTTTGGGATTTTTCAGTTTCTCAATTCTTCAATTTCTCGTTTTATTTTAATTTTCGATTTCTCAATTTCTTTTGTTTTTCGATTTCTCAATTTTCAGTTACTTCAATTTCACGACTATTCAATATTTTGAGTTTCTAATTTATCCTTTTTTCAATTTTTCAATTTTTGACGTTTCTAAATTTTCGAGTTTTCGACTTTTTCATTTATCGATTTATCAACTTCTCGAAGTTTCAGTTTTGGAATTTTTCAACTTTTAGATTCTTCAATTTTTCGATTTTTTGACTCGATTTTTCGATTTCTAGATATTTTCGATTTTTTAAATTTCAGATGATTTGGTTCGAATTTTCGATTGTTCATTTTTTCGATGTTTCAATTTACTTATCTTTACTTTTTTGGATTTTCAATTTTTTTCCGTTTCTCAGTTTTTCGATTTTTAAAATTTAAAATTTTTCAATTTTTCAAATGTTAAATTTTTTCGACTTCTTGTCTCTTCGAATTCTCGACCTTTTGATGTTAGTCGATGTTTCAATTTTTCCATTTTTCCATTTTTGGGATTTTCAAATTTTCTCTTTTCCAAATTTTCCAAGCATCAATTTTTCAATTTTTCGACATTTCACTTTTAGGGTTTTTCAATTCCTCATTTTTTAATTTTGGAATTTTTGATTTTGGGATTTCTCGTTTTTGGATTTTTCAGGATTTCTCGATTTTTCGTTTCCTCATTTGTTTGATTTCACAGTTTTTCGATTTTCAATTTTTCCATGTTTCTGTTTTGGAGTTTTTAATTTTTCCATTCCTCAATTCCTCAAATTTCCTGTTTTTTGACTTTTCGATTTTTCGATTTATCAGTTTTTCGATATTTCAGTTTTGGAAATTTTCTAAATTTAGATTCTTCAATTTTTTTATTTTTCGACCTTACGATTTTTCCATCCGATTTTTGATTTCTTAGTTTTTTACTTTTTCGGTTTTTTAAAATTCAGCTTTTTCGATTTTTTGACGTTTCGATTCCTGGATTCTTCAGTTCTTCGACATTTTAATTTTTCGATCGAATTTTACATTTTGAATTTTTCAAATTTTTCATGTTATTTTTTTCTATTTTCTTATTTTTCAACTTTCGATTGTTTAATTTTTCGAAATTTGTGTTTTAGGATTTTTCAGTTTTTTGGTTCTTCAATTTTTCAGTTTTTCATTCTTCAGTTTCTCGATTTTACAATTTTTCGAGTCTTTAATTTTTCCATTTTTCAGTTTTTCAATTTTTAGCGTTTCTAAATTTTCGATTATTTTATTTTTGATTTCTTGATTTATTTGAGTTTGGATTTTGAAATTTTGTATTTTTGCATTTTTGGATGTTTTTTGTTTATGTCGTATGTATTTATTTTCGTAATGTATAGATTTTTAATTTTCGATTTCCCAATTTTTCGAAATTACAATTTCTCAGTTTTTTGGTTTCTCAATTTTTAATTTTTCGATTACTCAATTTTTGGATATCATTTTTGGGATTTTTCAGTTTATCGATTCTTCAGTTTCGTTTTTATTAAATTTTCGATTTTTCGACTTTTTAACTTATCGATTTACCAATTTTTCATTATTTAGATTCTTCAATTTTTCGACTTTTTGGCATTACGATTTCTTGACTCGATTTTTCGATTTGTATACATATTCGATTTTTTAAATTTCAGATGATTTGGTTTTTTAAATTTTAATTTTTAAAATGTTTGATTTTTCGATTACTTATTCAGTTTTCCAATTTTTTGATTTCTGGGTTTATCCAGATTTCGAATTTTCGATTGTTGATTTTATCGATATTTCAATTTACCTATTTTTATTTTTAAATTTTTTTCTGTTTCTCGGTTTTCGATTTTTAAAATTTAAAATTTTTCGTTTTTTCAAATGTTAATGACTTCTCGACTCTTCTATTTCTCGACCTTTTGATGTTAGTCGATGTTTCAATTTATCCATTTTTCCATTTTTGGGATTTTCAAATTTTCTCTTTTCCAAATTTTCGAAGCCTCAATTTTTCAATTTTTCGACATTTCAGTTTTAGGATTTTTCAATTCCTCATTTTTTTAATTTTGGATTTTTGATTTTGGGATTCCTCGTTTTTGGATTTTTCAGGATTTCTCGATTTTTCGTTTCCTCATTTGTTTGATTTCGCAGATTTTCGATTTTCAATTTTTCAATGTTTCAGTTTTGGGGTTTTCAATTTTTCGATTCTTCACTTCTTCAAATTTCCAGTTTTTTGACTTTTCCATTTTTCGATTTATCAGTTTTGGAACTTTTCGAAATTTAGATTCTTCAATTTTTTGATTTTTCTACCTTACGATTTTTCCACCCGATTTTTGATTTCTTGGTTTTTTACTCTTTCGGTTTTTTAAAATTCAGTTTTTTCGATTTTTTGACGTTTCGATTCCTCGATTTTTCTTTTAATTTTTCGATCGAATTTTATATTTTAAATTTTTCAAATTTTTAATCTTCTTTTTTCTATTTTCTAATTTTTCCACTTTCCATTGCTCAATTTTTCGAAATTTGAGTTTTAGGATTTTTCAGTTTTTTGTTTCTTCAATTTTTCAGTTTTTCGTTCTTCAGTTTCTGGATTTTACAACTTTACGAGTCTTTAATTTTTCCATTTTTTAGTTTCTCAATTTTTTGTGTTTCTGAATTTTCGATTATGTTACTTTTTGATATCTTGATTTTTTTGAGTTTGGACTTTTAAATTTTATATTTTTGAATTTTTGGATGTTTTTTTGTTTATTTCAATGTCTAGATTTTTCATTTTCGATTTCCCAATTTTTCGAAATTACAATTTCTCAGTTTTTGATTCCTCAGTATTTCGGTTTCTCAATTTGAAATTTTTCGATTACTTAATTTTTGGATATCATTTTTGGGATTTTTCAGTTTCTCGATTCTTCAATTTCTCGTTTTTTATTAAATTTTCGACTTTTTGACTTATCGATTTACCAATTTTTCGATGTTTCAGTTTTGGAATTTTTCAATATATAGATTCTTCAATTTTTCGATTTTTTGCCTTTACGATTTTTTGACTCAATTTTTCAAATTTCAGATTATTCGGTTTTTCAGTTTTTGTTTTTTAAAATTTTCCAATTTTTCGATTTCTGAATCTATCCAAATTTCGAATTTCAATTATTCAATTTCTCGATATTTCAATTTACTTCTTTGCTTTTTGGAATTTCAATGTTTTCCGTTTCTCGGTTTTCGATTTTTAAAATTTTAAATTTTTCAACTTTCAAATGTTAATTTTTTTGATTTTAATATTTTGATTTTTAGGTTTTTCGACTTCTCGACTCTTCCATTTCTCGACCTTTTGATGTTAATCGATGTTTCAATTTTTCCATTCTTCCGTTTTTGGGATTTTCAAATTTTCTCTTCCAAATTTTCGAAGCCTCAATTTTTCAATTTTTCGACATTTCAGTTTTAGGATTTTTCAATTCCTCATTTTTTTCGATTTTTCGATTTATCAGTTTTGGAACTTTTCGAAATCTAGATTCTTCAATTTTTTGATTTTTCGACCTTACGATTTTTCCATCCGATTTTTGATTTCTTGGTTTTTTACTTTTTCGGTTTTTTAAAATTCAGTTTTTTCGATTTTTTGACTTTTCGATTCCTCGATTTTTCAGTTTTCCGACATTTTAATTTTTCGATCGAATTTTACATTTTAAATTTTTCAAATTTTTAATCTTTTTTTTCTAATTTTTCCACTTTCCATTGCCCAATTTTTCGAAATTTGAGTTTTAGGATTTTTCAGTTTTTTGATTCTTCAATTTTTCAGTTTTTCGTTCTTCAGTGCCTCAATTTTACAATTTTTCGAGTCTTTAATTTTTCCATTTTTCAGTTTCTCAATTTTTAGCATTTCTAAATTTTCGATTATTTTACTTTTTGATATCTTGATTTTTTTGAGTTTGGACTTTTAAATTTTGTATTTTTGAATTTTTGGATGTTTTTTTTTGTTTATTTCGTATGTATAGATTTTTAATTTTCGATTTCCCAATTTTTCGAAATTACAATTTCTCAGTTTTTGATTCCTCAGTATTTCGGTTTCTCAATTTTAAATTTTTCGATTACTCAATTTTTGGATATCATTTTTGGGATTTTTCAGTTTATCGATTCTTCAGTTTCGTTTTTATTAAATTTTCGATTTTTCGACTTCTTGACTTATCGATTTACCAATTTTTCAATATTTAGATTCTTCAATTTTTCGATTTTTTGCCTTTACGATTTTTTGACTAGGTTTTTTCTTTTTTTAAATTTCAGATGTTACAGTTTTTCAATTTTTGATTTTTAAAATTGTCCAATTTTTCGATTTCTGGGTCTATTGAGATTTCGAATTTCGATTATTCAATTTCTCGATATTTCAATTTATTTATCGGTTTTTCGATTTTTAAAATTTTCAATTTTTCAAATGTTAATTTTTGATTTTAATTTAATATTTCGGTTTTTCGGGGTTTCGACTTCTCGACCTTTTGATGTTCTAATTTTTCCATTTTTCGGTTTTTGACCTTTTCAAATTTTCTCTTTTCCAATTTTTCGAAGTGGGTATCGATTTTCTGAATTTTTCGACATTTCAGTGTTGAGTTTTTGTAAACGATCGATTTTTCATTTTTTCGTTATTTTAAATTTTCGATTTTTCGATTCCTCAGTTTTTCGATTTTACGGTTTTTGAGGTTTCGATTTAATTTTAATTGTTTTTAATTCCTCAATATTTCAAGTTTCCTATTTTCCAAATTTTCGACATCTCGGTTTTTTGACTTTTCAAATGTTTCGACATTTCAATTTTGGAAAATTTTCAATTTACGAACTCGTAATTTTTCAATTTTTTAAATTATAGATTTTTCAATTTTTCTATTTTCAAAATTTTTCGATTTCTCAATTTTTCAATTGTTTCAAGGTGTGCGAGGACGTAAACGAGTGCCACGAAATGGGCAACCAATGCGCCTTTAGATGCCACAACGTCCCCGGCTCCTTCAGATGCATCTGCCCCTACGGATACGCATTAGCCCCTGATGGAAGACACTGCCAAGGTACCACCCACCCAATTTTGCCCACAAACCTAACACCCAGTTTCAGACGTCGACGAATGCATAACCCCCGCCAACAACTGCAAATTCCAATGCAAGAACCTCATTGGTTCATTCATGTGCATCTGCCCCGAAGGCTACACCCAAGTTGGCTTAACCGACGACTGCCGAGACATCAACGAGTGCGCCGTCAACCCCAACATGTGCGAAAACGGCGAATGCGTCAACCTCCAAGGCTCCTTCAGGTGCGACTGCTACGACGGCTACGAACCCACACACGACAGAAGACGATGCATAGACCGAAGACAGGGAGTCTGCTTCAGGAAGTTGATCCACGGCCGCTGCACCACCCACAATCGCGAAATCAAACAAGTAACAAAAGCGGATTGTTGTTGTTCCATGGGGGAAGCGTGGGGACCGCAGTGCGAGCTTTGCCCCTCGAAATACTCACCCCAGTACCAGGAACTTTGCCTAGACAGCGGTTTCACAGTGGATGGACAAGGTAACAAAATCAATCACTCGTTCGTTTTTAATTGTACCTTCCAGATGTCAACGAGTGCGAAACCATCCCGGATTTGTGTCGCAACGGACAATGCATTAACACCATGGGTTCCTACCGGTGTATTTGTAACAAAGGGTTCAAAGCGGATGCGTCTGGGTTGTTCTGTCTGGATATCAACGAGTGTGAGCACAGATCGCCTTGTCAACACATCTGTAGAAACACAGAAGGCAGTTTTGTTTGTTCGTGTCCACCTGGGTATTTGTTGAACGCCGATGGTCTGACCTGTAGGGACTTGGATGAGTGTGCTACTGGTCAACACGTGTGTCAGCACACTTGTGTCAACACCCAAGGGAGTTACTCTTGTTCTTGTCCCAAAGGGTACAATCAAATCGGTGATGATTGTCAAGATATAAACGAGTGTAAAGAGGATATCGGGATGTGTCCTAAACCTGGTCGTTGTGTCAACACCTTGGGGAGCTTCAAGTGTATTTGTCCTAGACGATTTAAGCTTGACAAGAGTGGCAGTTACTGTATAGATGCAGATGAGTGTACTGATGACGGGAAATGTCCAGAAGGTAACGCGTTTGGTGGTTTTGCTAAGTGTCTAGGTTGTTTGTGGTTTTAGGTTGCCAAAACTTGATCGGTGGGTATAGGTGTGGTTGTCCGGATGGCTATGTCTTACACTACTATTATAATCAATGCGTGGATGATAACGAGTGTGCTAATAACCCATGTGGTACTAGTGGTAACTGCTTCAACACTCCTGGTAGCTACAGATGTGGGTGTCCTGATGGGTACCAGTTTGACAATAAACTGAGTATTTGTATCCAGGTTCGTTACACGATATTGTGAATGAGAAAAGTCTAAGAATGTGTTCCAGGTGAGTGCTGGGTGCAGTGGTGCCCCTTGTGCCTTCGGTTGTACATCTTCGGGTTCAGCCGGATTTGCTTGTGGTTGCCCACAAGGCTACCAACGCATCGGCCAAGGCCACTGTCTTTCCACGATCACTCCAGCTACAGTTGGCTATGGACAAGACCTAGGGGACGTCCCTACGTACACCATCAACGAAGGCTACGGATCCGCATCAAACGACAAGCTTATAACGACTGAAGGCTGCTTCTCCTGCAAGGTCAACGGTCGACATAGACGCAACTCCAGACACTACAAACTGAGTCTCGAATCGAGTTCGAACGGCACCCACACCATGAAGCAACTCTTCAAAAGATCCAGACGATTTCGCAGACACCACCACGGCGAAGATCTAGAATTGAAGATCAGTCTAGCCCAAACTAGACACAGAATGAGAATAATCAAACTCCAGCCTGCCATCAAGGTACTACTTCGCCTTTTCGTATTCTTCTTCTAGTGACAGTTATTTTCCAGCGCGACGTGGAGTACATGATCGTTCGAGGTAACGAAAACGGCAAGTTCGAGTTGGTGAAGAAGCACGGAGTTTGGGCTTTGCATTTCCGGCGACGGCTTAAGCACCCCGGAGCTTTCGACTTGTTGGTTCACGGAAGACCGGTAAATAGTGATAATGGTAGCAACGATGTCAGTTACGACAAACCGTTAACACTGAGAGTGCGACTGATTGTTACCGAGTGAGGGGTTTTCTTGCGTTGGCAGTTAGGTAAAGTTGTTTTTAATATTGCTTAAGAGTCGATGAGTTTGTAAATTAAACACGACCGCACTTGCTACCGAAACGACGAATAGTCGTTTTTATAAAATATACTTTCGCAACACATTCAAATGTGATAGGAAACCGTCATTTTGTAAGTCGAACGGTGAAACACACTGCCAAATTTCATGTGTTCTTTTTTGTAACCTTTTTTGTGCAATGCGCTGCCCGTCTTTGGTACTCGAGTTATTTCGTGTTCATTTTTTATGAGGAAGTAATTTTACAATATACATGTTTTTATAATAAGCTTTATAATAAACTTTAAAGTATTACTACAGAATTATATGAGTAGAACATATTTATATGTATAGTTAAGTATTTAATTAGTTACCTAAAATTTTTATTTTATAAAGAAATCCTTGTAATATATTTGCTTTCTCAGTAATAAAATATCTTTGCATACACAAACCGGTCTTTTTTTTACCCACTGATTTGACATATACCTAGTAAAACCCATAGAAGTTGTAGATAAGCGAAGAAAAATGTTGCTGTCTCGGTGGGAATCGAACCACACGCACCCCGCTTGCCGGGCAGGCATCCTGACCACTAGACCACGAGACCGCTTACTTTCTCCGCTTACCAACGTGTTATTGTGCCGCCACAAAATCATACAAATTTTCGTAGGTATATGTCAACTGAGTTAAGTATATTTCAGGTATATATGGTTAGCAAAAACAAAAAACTGTCGCAACTACGCTGTTCTGACTTGATGATGAAACATTCATGAACTCCTCTAAAGAATTTTCACCCATATAAAACAGTGTATTTTACTTTTTTAACAATTAGTGTATTTTTTACACAATTAAATCATAAAAAATATATTTACTTAATAGTAAACTAGCTTTATTATTCTACTTTTGAAAGCAACGAGGAAATCGACTTTATGTCCACAAACAGAAGTGAGCTTTATCTCAATAGCAACTTTACTGAGGTTTATTTTAGTAGTTCTTGGGTAATATCGATGTTTTCCAACTTCTCAAAATTTCAGTTTTAGGATTTTTCAGTTCTCTGATTTTCAATTTTTCAATTTCTCGATTTAAAATTTTTCTATTACTTAATTTTTTCGATATTTCATTTATGGCATTTTTCAGTTTTTCGATTCTTCTAAATTTTCTGTTTCTCGATTTTTTTTTAGTTTACGACTTTTCAGTTTTCCGATATTTTACTTCAACAATTTTCAATTTTCAGGTCTTCAGTTTTTCCAGTTTCCAATTCTAAATTTTCGATTTTTCAACTTTTTAATTTCATGACTTTTTGAGTTTTTATTATCGATTTATCAATTTTTCGCTGTCGGTTTTGTAACTTTTCCATATTTAAATTTTTTCATTTTTTTACGATTTTTCGATTTCTTGATTTTTTACTTTTTCGGTTTTTAAAATTTTATTTTTGGATTTTGCAGTTTTTCAAATTTTTGACCTTTTGGTTTCTCGATTTTCTAGTTTTTCGACATTTTACTTTTTCGTCGATTTTTAAAGTTTCTATTTTTTTTTTCAATTTTTTTCATTTTTTTTTTGTTTTTTTCAATTTTTTTAATTTGTCGACTTTCGATTTGTCAATTTTTCCAAATTGTAGTTTTAGGATTTTTCAGTGTTTTGATTCTTCAATTTTTCAGTTTCTCGATTTAAAATTTTTCCATTACTCAATTTTCCGATGTGTCATTTTTAGGATTTTTCAAATTTTCGTTCTTCAGCTTCTCGATTTTTTAAGTTTTTTCAATTTTTCTGTTTCCAATTTTTCCATTTTTCAATTTTTCCAGTTTTCAGTTTTTCAATTTTTGGCGTTTCTAAATTTTCGATTATCTTACATTTTGATTTCTCGATTTTTTCAGTTCTTGACTTTAAATTCTTTGATTTTCCCGTTTCTCGACTTTTTGACGTTTCGATTTCCCAACTTCTCGCTTTTGCAGTTTTTCAGTTCTTCAATTTTTCGATTTTTCAATTTCTCAATTTTTCAATTTTTCGATTTTTAAATTTTTTTCCCAATTTTTCGAAATTAGGATTTTTCAATTTTTGATCCCTGAGTTTCTCGACTTTAAATTTTTCGATTACACAATTTTTGAATATTTCATTTTTGGGATTTTTCGGTTTCTCAATTCTTCAATTTCTCGTTTTATTTTTAATTTTCGATTTCTCAATTTTCTTTATTTTTCGATTTCTCAATTTACAGTTACTTCAATTTCACGACTTTTTAATTTTTAGAGTCTCCAATTTTTCCATTTTTCGATTTTTCGACTTTTTGACTTATCGATTTATCAATTTTTCCATGTTTCAGTTTTGGAATTCAGCATTTAGATTCTTCAATTTTTCGACTTTTTGGCATTACGATTTCTTGACTCGATTTTTCGATTTGTATACATTTCCGAATTTTTAAATTTCAGATGATTTGGTTTTTTAACTTTTGATTTTTAAAATTTTTGATTTTTCGATTACCTATTCAATTTTCCAATTTTTTGATTTCTGGGTTTATCGAGATTTCGAATTTTCTATTGTTCATTTTTTCGATATTTCAATTTACTTATTTTTATTTTTCATTTTTTTTTAATTTTTTTTGTTTTTTTCAATTTTTTTAATTTGTCGACTTTCGATTTTTTAATTTTTCCAAATTGTAGTTTTAGGACTTTTCAGTGTTTTGATTCTTCAATTTTTCAGTTTCTCGATTTAAAATTTTTCCATTACTCAATTTTCCGATATGTCATTTTTAGGATTTTTCAAATTTTCGTTCTTCAGCTTCTCGATTTTTTAAGTTTTTTCAATTTTTCTGTTTCCAATTTTTCCATTTTTCAATTTTTCCAGTTTTCAGTTTTTCAATTTTTGGCGTTTCTAAATTTTCGATTATCTTACATTTTGATTTCTCGATTTTTTCAGTTCTTGACTTTAAATTCTTTGATTTTCCCATTTCTCGACTTTTTGACGTTTCGATTTCCCAACTTCTCGCTTTTGCAGTTTTTCAGTTCTTCAATTTTTCGATTTTTCAATTTCTCAATTTTTCAATTTTTCGATTTTTAAATTTTTTTCCCAATTTTTCGAAATTAGGATTTTTCAATTTTTGATCCCTGAGTTTCTCGATTTTAAATTTTTCGATTACACAATTTTTGAATATTTCATTTTTGGGATTTTTCGGTTTCTCAATTCTTCAATTTCTCGTTTTATTTTTAATTTTCGATTTCTCAATTTTCTTTATTTTTCGATTTCTCAATTTGCAGTTACTTCAGTTTCACGACTTTTTAATTTTTAGTGTCTTCAATTTTTCCATTTTTCGATTTTTCGACTTTTTGACTTATCGATTTATCAATTTTTCCATGTTTCAGTTTTGGAATTTTTCAGCATTTAGATTCTTCAATTTTTCGACTTTTTGGCATTACGATTTCTTGACTCGATTTTTCGATTTGTATACATTTCCGATTTTTTAAATTTCAGATGATTTGGTTTTTTAAATTTTGATTTTTAAAATTTTTGATTTTTTTATTACCTATTCAATTTTCCAATTTTTTTGATTTCTGGGTTTATCGAGATTTCGAATTTTCTATTGTTCATTTTTTCGATATTTCAATTTACTTATTTTTATTTTTCATTTTTTTTCTGTTTCTCGGTTTTCGACTTTTAAAATTTAAAATTTTTCAATTTTTCAAATGCTAAATTTTTTGGCAGTTAGGTAAAGTTGTTTTTAATATTGCTTAAGAGTCGATGAGTTTGTAAATTAAACACGACCGCACTTGCTACCGAAACGACGAATAGTCGTTTTTATAAAATATACTTTCGCAACACATTCAAATGTGATAGGAAACCGTCATTTTGTAAGTCGAACGGTGAAACACACTGCCAAATTTCATGTGTTCTTTTTTGTAACCTTTTTTGTGCAATGCGCTGCCCGTCTTTGGTACTCGAGTTATTTCGTGTTCATTTTTTATGAGGAAGTAATTTTACAATATACATGTTTTTATAATAAGCTTTATAATAAACTTTAAAGTATTACTACAGAATTATATGAGTAGAACATATTTATATGTATAGTTAAGTATTTAATTAGTTACCTAAAATTTTTATTTTATAAAGAAATCCTTGTAATATATTTGCTTTCTCAGTAATAAAATATCTTTGCATACACAAACCGGTCTTTTTTTACCCACTGATTTGACATATACCTAGTAAAACTCATAAAAGTTGTAGGTAAGCGAAGAAAAATTTTGCTGTCTTGGTGGGAATCGAACCACACGCCCCCCGCTTGCCGGGCAGGCATCCTGACCACTAGACCACGACGCCGCTTACTTTCTCCGCTTACCAACGCGTTATTGTGCCGCCACAAAGTCATACAAATTTTCGTAGGTATATGTCAACTGAGTTAAGTATATTTCAGGTACATATGGTTAGCAAAAACAAAAAACTGTCGCAACTACGCTGTTCTGACTTGATGATGAAACATTCATGAACTCCTCTAAAGAATTTTCACCCATATAAAACAGTGTATTTTACTTTTTTAACAATTAGTGTATTTTTTACACAATTAAATCATAAAAAATATATTTACTTAATAGTAAACTAGCTTTATTATTCTACTTTTGAAAGCAACGAGGAAATCGACTTTATGTCCACAAACAGAAGTGAGCTTTATCTCAATATCAACTTTACTGAAGTTTATTTTAGTAGTTCTTGGGTAATATCGATGTTTTCCAACTTCTCAAAATTTCAGTTTTAGGATTTTTCAGTTCTCTGATTTTCAATTTTTCAATTTCCCGATTTAAAATTTTTCTATTACTTAATATTTTCGATATTTCATTTATGGCGTTTTTCAGTTTTTCGATTCTTCTAAATTTTCTGTTTCTCGATTTTTTTTTAGTTTACGACTTTTCAATTTTCCGATATTTTACTTTAACAATTTTCAATTTTCAGGTCTTCAGTTTTTCCAGTTTCCAATTCTAAATTTTCGATTTTTCAACTTTTTAATTTCATGACTTTTTGAGTTTTTATTATCGATTTATCAATTTTTCGCTGTCAGTTTTGGAACTTTTCCATATTTAAATTTTTTCATTTTTTTTACGATTTTTCGATTTCTTGATTTTTTACTTTTTCGGTTTTTAAAATTTTATTTTTGGATTTTGAGTTTTTCAAATTTTTGACCTTTTGGTTTCTCGATTTTCTAGTTTTTCGACATTTTACTTTTTCGTCGATTTTTAAAGTTTCTATTTTTTTTTTCAATTTTTTTAAATTTTTTTTTGTTTTTTTCAATTTTTTTAATTTGTCGACTTTCGATTTCTCAATTTTTCCAAATTGTAGTTTTGGGATTTTTCAGTGTTTTGATTCTTCAATTTTTCAGTTTCTCGATTTAAAATTTTTCCATTACTCAATTTTCCGATATGTCATTTTTAGGATTTTTCAAATTTTCGTTCTTCAGCTTCTCGATTTTTTAAGTTTTTTCAATTTTTCTGTTTCCAATTTTTCCATTTTTCAATTTTTCCAGTTTTCAGTTTTTCAATTTTTGGCGTTTCTAAATTTTCGATT